GACAGATAAAACCTGTAAACATTCCTCAGGAAGTGCCTACCATTAACTTAAGATGGATAATACTGGAGTTAAACAGTTGTGTGTTGGCCAAGCACAGTGGCTCACACACCTAGTACTTTTGGAGGCCCAAGTGAGAGGACTGCCTGATGCTAGGAGTTGGAGACTTGCCTGGGCAATAGTGAGACCCTATCTCTACAAAAAAATTTAGAAATTTGCTGGGTATGGTGGCACACACCTGTAGTCCCAGCTACTCCAGCTACTCAGGAGGGTGAGGCAGGAGGATTGCTTGAGGCCAGGAATTTGAGGTTTAGTGAGCTATGTTGTTTGTTTGTTTGTTTAAGACAGAGTCTCACTCTGTTGCCGAGGCTAGAGTGCCGTGGCGTCAGCCTAGCTCACAGCAACCTCAAACTCCTGGGCTCAAGTGATCCTACTGCCTCAACCTCCTGAGTAGCTGGGACTGCAGGCATGCGCCACCATGCCCGGAGAATTTTTTCTATATATATTAGTTGGCCAATTAATTTCTTTCTGTTTATAGTAGAGATGGGGTCTCGCTCTTGCTCAGACTGGTTTCTTACTCCTGACCTCGAGCAATCCACCTGCCTTGGCCTCCCAGAGTGCTAGGATTACAGGCGTGAGCCACCACGCCTGGCCTGTTTGTTTTTTGAGACAGAATCTCATTCTGTTGCCTGGGCTAGAGTGCTGTGCTGTCAGCCTAGCTCACAGCAACCTCAAACTCCTGGGCTCAAGCAATCCTCCTGCCTCAGCCTCCCGAGTGCTGGGACTACAGGGATGCACCACCATGCCCGGCTAATTTTTTTTTCTACAGTTGGCCAATTAATTTCTTTCTATTTTTTTTTTTAGTAGAGATGGGGTCTCGCTCTTGCTCAGGCTGGTCTTGAACTCCTGAGCGCAAATGATCCACCCACCTTGGCCTCCCAGAGTGCTAGGATTACAGGCGTGAGCCACTGCACGTGGCCAGTTTAGTGAGCTATGATCACTCCACTACACTCTAGCTGGGGCAATGGAGTGAGATTCTGCCTAAAAGAAAAAAACATTGTGTGTTAATTTAAGTGTGTCTACCTGGGAGGTAAACTGATTTGATGGTTACCTCAGGCAATTGCTGTATACTCTCTGACAACCATCTTGTGCTTTTTTTTTTTTTTTTTTAAGACAGAGTCTCACTTTGTTGCCCAGGCTAGAGTGAGTGCCCTGGTGTCAGCCCAGCTCACAGCAACCTCAAACTCCTAGGCTCAAGCAATCCTCCTGCCTCAGCCTCCCAAGTAGCTGGGACAACAGGCACGTGCCACCATGCCCGGCTAATTTTTTCTATATATATTAGTTGGCCAATTAATTTCTTTCTACTTATAGTAGAGATGGGGGTCTCACTCTTGCTCAGGCTGGTTTTGAACTCCTGACCTCGAGCGATCCACCCGCCTTGGCCTCCCAGAGTGCTAGGATTACAGGTGTGAGCCACCGCGCCCGGCCCCATCTTGTGTTTTTAAGCAAGTCAACCAGTTTGAATTAAATCAGTTACTTGGGATTTTACATTTATATAGTTAGGAAGGTCCCCTGAAGTAATGAGTTAAGATTTAAAGGACATAAGGTTATGAATCAGTGGATAGACTACAATAGGTAGGTAGAGGCTAGACGGGAACGTCTAAATAAGAATAGTTTGTAATTCATTAGAGAAGTATAATAGGAAATAGAAGAGAAAAGAAAGATGACTAGTGGGAAGTCCTGAGGGTAGTGTGGAATAAGTTTCTAGTTTAACATTAGGGTGGGTTATTAAAGTAAATGATTAGGTACATGATCTTGTTGGCCTTTCAGACAAAGCAGGTAAGCAGGTTATTGTTATGGAACCTACAGGAGGTACAAAAGGAGGCAAAATGGTTCAGACAAGCATGGGAAATCCAGTTACTTCAGTGATTGTATTGTAAAAGGCAATTGTGATTGTAGGCTTGGGAAATAAAAAAGACTGGTGATTATTATTGATCACAATGAGTAAGTTCAGGAAGAGAGAAGCTAAATTTGGCAAAGGTTGGAGAAGAAGGTAGGCAGTAAGTAGGCTAATAAAGCAGAGAGGTAGAGCAGAAGGAAAAAGAAATAGTGAACATTAAAGAAAAAGCTTGTGGTTGGAAAGCAGAAAAATGATTAAAACCAGAAAGACAGTGAATGATATTTTTTATATAATACCTTATAGTTTTCAAAGCCCTTTCAGTGCTTTGAAACATTAATATGTTTCCTCAACAAGTAAAGAATCCCTAGTATGTATAAATCCTTGTGCTGGACGGGCATGGTGGCTCACGCCTGTAATTCTAGCGCTCTGGGAGGCAGAGGCAGGTGGATCGCTCAAGGTCAGGAGTTTGAAACCAGCCTGAGCAAGAGCGAGACCCCATCTCTACTAAAAATAGAAAGAAATTAATTGGCCAACTAATAATATATAGAAAAAGTTAGCTGGGCATGGTGGCACATGCCTGTAGTCCCAGCTACTTGGGAGGCTGAGGCAGAAGGATTGCTTGAGCCCAGGAGTTTGAGGTTGCTGTGAGCTAGGCTGACAGCACGGCACTCTAACCTGGACAACAGAGTGAGTTAGACTCTGTCTTTAAAAAAAAAAAAGCCTTGTGCTAAGCAGAAAGAGAACTGTAAAGATGAATACAGTGGAGGACTTGCCAGATGCCTGCTCCAGTTCCTTGTTCTTTTTTCTAGGAGTTTATTCAAAAGTGCCTGCAGTCTGAGCCTGCTCGCAGACCAACGGCCAGAGAACTTCTGTTTCACCCAGCACTATTTGAAGTGCCCTCACTCAAACTCCTTGCTGCCCACTGCATTGTGGGACATCAGCGTAAGCCCCCTTGGCCCTACTAGGAATTTTCTTTCAATCTGGGGCTTTGTAACTCTTACTGGCATGCTCTTTCCTCTTCTACTTCCAAAGGTATCCTTTACCCCTTTGCCTCTGTGCCTTCTGTGACATTGATCTGACTATTCCTCCATAACATCCCACTCCATCATGCCCTCCAGATATGATCCCAGAGAATGCTCTAGAGGAGATCACCAAAAACATGGATACCAGTGCTGTCCTGGCTGAAATCCCTGCAGGACCAGGAAGAGAACCAGTTCAGACTTTGTGAGTAACTGAGAGGGTCTGAAAGGGACAGATTGGTCACTACCACCCTGAGGCTCTGTAAACTATCCATTGTCTGGGAATGGTTGAATCTGCTATTTTGCTTGTTTCCTTTCTTCCATCATTTTTTTCTCTTCCAGGTACTCACAGTCACCAGCTCTGGAATTAGATAAATTCCTTGAAGATGTCAGGTAAGAGCAGAGTGAGAAGCAGGCTTCCTTGAGGAAGTGCAGGGGTGGGTGTCCTAAGGCATTCATAGAGCGCATGTGACCTGTCGTCATCTCTCTCTAGGAATGGTATCTACCCTCTGACAGCCTTTGGGCTACCTCGGCCCCAGCAACCACAGCAGGAGGAGGTCACATCACCTGTTGTGCCACCCTCTGTCAAGACTCCAACACCTGAACCAGCTGAGGTGGAGACCCGCAAGGTGGGGGCTATGGTGGTGTGGATGTCTCCGTAGCCATGGTGGAAGGGGGAGAAGACATCTCAAATAAGGCTCTGTTCTTTAGAGAAAAGAAAGCACTTTCTGCTTCCTGTCTTGTGGGCTGGAAAGGCTTCTAGGTATTGGGTTTTTTTTACCGACTGGTCTCTAACCTAGTGACCCTTTCTGACCTCTCTCCCTAGGTGGTGCTGATGCAGTGCAACATTGAGTCAGTGGAGGAGGGAGTCAAACACCATGTAAGGCTCGGAGCCAGGGCTGCATGGGGCTGGGTGGCCAAAAGGTGGGGGGAAGAAGACCCTCATTTTCTGATTGTCCTATTCTCCAGCTGACGCTTCTGCTGAAGCTGGAGGACAAACTGAACCGGCACCTGAGCTGTGACCTGATGCCAAGTGAGTCTCTCTTTTCCCTTAGAGAATGGAGAGTCTGAGTCTTATCTGTGAGGAACATATTTAGGGGTGGGGAAGGTGACAAGGCAGTAACACAGTGACTCATGTAGAATGACTGTTAGTCCTTAAAACTGATGGGTGTTGCTGGACTGGTGCTATTTGAAGGGCTCTATGTCCTTCACTCCCATACGATACTCACTCTCTCCCATTTCTTTGTCAGATGAGAACATCCCTGAGTTGGCCGCTGAGCTGGTACAGTTGGGCTTCATTAGCGAGGTGAGGTTGCTGCCTTCATCTGCCTTGGCTGGCTGCCTCCGTGCTGCCCCTTCTCTCAGCCCGTCTCACTGATCTCTTCTCCCCCAGGCTGACCAGAGCCGGCTGACTTCTCTGCTAGAGGAGACTCTGAACAAGTTCAATTTTGCCAGGAACAGTACCCTCAACTCAGCCGCTGTCACCGTCTCCTCTTAGAGCTCACTTGGGCCAGGCCCCTATCTGAGCTGTGGCTGTCCCTGGACATGCTGCAGCCCTCCTGTCCCTTCCCCCCCAGTCAGTATTACCCTGTGAAGCCCCTTCTCTCCTTTATTATTCAGGAGGGCTTGGGGGCTCCCTGGTTCTGAGCATCATCCTCCCCCTCCCCTTTCTCTTCCTCCCCTCTGCACTTTGTTTACTTGTTTTGCACAGACGTGGGCCTGGGCCTTCTCAGCAGCCGCCTTCTAGTTGGGGGCTAGTAGCTGATCTGCCAGCTCCCGTGGCCTGTGTGGAAAGGAGGCCCACGGAAACTGGGGGAGCTGAGTTCTACAATCCCGCTGGGCGGCCGGGGCGGGAGAGAAAGGTGGTGCTGCAGTGGTGGCCCTAGGGGGCCATTCGATTCGCCTCAGTTGCTGCTGTAATAAAAGTCTACTTTTTGCTAAAAGCGTCGTGTGTGTGTGAGAAGCGCGCCTTCTCCGCTAGGGGGCGTGGGGCTGCGCGCCTGTGGCGGGGCGGAAGGGGAGGGAGGGGGGCCCTCAGGTAGTGCTGGGGAGGAGCGGGGCGGGCACGGGGCGGGGCAGGGCCGGGCCCAGGTGCGGCTGCCCGGCGGCTGCGGCGCGGCGGAAAGCGATGAGGTGCCGCGGCCTCTGCACGTTCGGTAACTTCCGGCTCCTTGGGTCTTGTCCTTCCCTGCGACCACCCTCAGGCCATGCCGCCCTTCGGCCTCCCTCCCGGCCCGGCTCAGGCCTGTCCCTTCCCGGTGCTTTGCAGACGCTGCGCGGGGGCCCCGGCGCCTGATGCGCGTGGGCCTCGCGCTGATCCTGGTGGGCCACGTGAACCTGCTGCTGGGGGCCGTGCTGCACGGCACCGTTCTGCGGCACGTGGCCAATCCCCGAGGCGCCGTCACACCGGAGTACACCACAGCCAATGTCATCTCAGTCGGCTCGGGGCTGCTGGTGAGTGCGGGGGGGCGAGGGGGGGGGCCGGGGCCCGGCACGCAGAGCCCAGCGGGCCAAAGGCTTTGTGTCTTCCGCAGAGCGTTTCCTTGGGACTTGTGGCCCTCTTGGCATCCAGGAACCTTCTTCGCCCACCACTGGTGAGAAGGGACTTCTGGAGCTTGCAAGGAGGCGACCTTGAGTGAGGGGAATGGGTCTGACAGAACTTGGTCAGTGGATGGGAGAAGCCTTAGAGAAACGGGGGCGTCTAGTCATTGGGAGAATTAGCCGGGCCCAGGCTGCTCACCCGGATCTTCCGTTCCTGCCAGCACTGGGCCCTGCTGGCACTAGCTCTAGTGAACCTGCTCTTGTCCGCTGCCTGCTCTCTGGGCCTCCTCCTTGCTGTGTCGCTCACTGTGGCCAATGGTGGTCGCCGTCTTATCGCTGACTGCCATCCAGGACTGCTGGATCCTTTGATACCACTGGACCAGGGGCCTGGACACACTGACTGCCCCTTTGACCCCACAAGAATCTATGTAAGCATATTCTCTTCCTTCTTCCGGTCCACAAAGCCATTTTGATTTCCCCTATTTGCTGCTCCTGCCCCACTCCCTCTCAGTCCCCATCCTTCCTTGCTTTTCAGGAAACAGCCTTGGCTCTTTGGATCCCTTCTTTGCTTATGTCTGCAGGGGAGGCTGCTCTATCTGGTTACTGCTGTGTGGCTGCACTCACCCTACGTGGAGTGGGGCCCTGCAGGAAGGAAGAGCTTCAGGAGCAGGTAAGGAAGATGAACAGAAAGGGCTGATTCAGCACAGGTTGGCTGTGTTGAAAAGATGCTGATTCAGGACCAGGGTTCCCTTCTGATTCTCTTCTTCTGTAGCTAGAAGAACTGACAGAGCTTGAACCTCCTACATGTAAAAAGCAGGAAAATGAACAGCTACTGGATCAAAATCTAGGAATCCAGGCACCACAGAGAAGTTGGGTTTAAGCCAGGTAATGGGCCAGGAGGGTGGTGGCCCAAGTAAGAGTAGGGGCAAGGAAATGGTCTTAGAACTGGGCCTAGGTCTGCTATGCTGTTCCCCTTCTGACCCCGGCTGGTTCTCCCCTCTGTCAAGCAGGTGCTGTTCCAAGGCTTAATTCACAAGGGTTTGCCATGAAGCAAGGGGCCCTGACCTCGGGATGATATAAACAATTATAATAAAATAACTACTTTTTCTCTACTTGATCATGATTCCTTTCAGGGGAAAGGGCACTATGCTGGTGTTGGAGGTGACTCTAATAAAAACATACAGTGGTCTCAATTACTTATAAAATTTTAATGAGAGGTCCTAACTCCTCAGCTCTACCAGTTACTGAAAGGAAAAGCTGGTGCTGGGGAGGCCTCCACACCACTGACTGATGAATTTCAGCACGTCTTGGCACACTGGACTGTGGGAAGTCTGTGAGCAAATGGAAGGAACAGGAGAAGAACTCATTAGTTCTGGGAAAACATTCATGATACAAAGAAAATCAGCTCCATGGCAGTGTCACAGGGAGCAAGGTTCAGGGTCTGCAATGCCTTCTTGATAATCCCACCCACACTTCTAGTGGTCTTTTTTCAGTGCTGCTCTCTTTGCCCTCATCCTTCAAGTTCCCCTCTCTAACCTTGATGGCCATAAGGAATTTATTCCAGTTGTCCTTGTTAGCAGCCTTCCCTGGTCGCTTAAATTCAATCTTGTTCCTCAGAATGGGGTATCCTATGAGGGGAAGAAAAAGATGAACTGGGTTTGAGAGAGATTGACGAGGGAAAAATAAAGAGCAACCTGGGGTTAGAAAGTAGCATGGTCTTGTTTTTTGTACCCTTTACTGAGTCGTAATAAAATAAAGTTTCTTGATCCTACTTCTTTCTACCCACCACAGGATATGGGGTCATACCTGTAATGAGGCAGGGCAAGGCCCGAACTCCAGTGCTCGCGGCCACCAGGGAGGCCTCGTAGACACCACGTTCATCCCGAGGCAGAACCTGCTCCAGCCGCTGGTCCATTGAGACTGTGAGCACCCAGTCTCGAACCTCTTCTCTCTGAGCCTCCTGGGAAGGACAGAGGGAGCAGCAGTTTCCCACAAGGCAGGAGAAGTGGAGGTGGCAAGGAGATTTGCTAAGCCCTCTTTCTGCATACCAGCTGTTGGCCATAAATGATCCTCCTTGGAATGGGGGATACAGTCACAGCCTTATCTTTCTACTCTGCTTCTGCTTTCACTGAAGGAATAGTGAGGGCTGAGGTCTTTCCAAGGATGGCAGCGCAAAGACATCCTCCCTCCATGCGCTCACATTGGTGAGGCCTTCCTGTTTTTCAACCCTGTGCCCTTACCGGTACGTGCTGCTTGGCTGGCAGTGGCACCTCAAAGGGAATGTCTGTGTCCTGAAAATCAGAGTGATCAAGGGCATCCAGAGTCCCTTCTTCAATTGCCTGCAGTAGAGTGGGTGACCCTGAGTCAAGCATAGCTTCTGACAGGCAAAACCTCCCAACCTCTGGGCACAGCTTTCCTACTCACATCAGTCAGATCCAAAAAGCGATTGAGGAAGATGAATGCCATGTTTTCCCAGCCAACTACCTGCAGGAGAGAAAAGTTGCAAATGGGAGTGAACAGGCTGGGCTTGGCTGCTACTTCTCTAGCATGCAGGGAGAAAAACCCAGCAAGATATAGGACTATGTCCTCCATAACATCAGCCGCAGACCCAGCTTTCCTATTCCTGAGCAAAAGGGATATTCTCAGTATTCCAATCTTTGATTTCCTCTCTTCAGCTCCACCGTTCCTTGTCCCAGCTTACCTTGGCAGCAATGCCTGCTTCATAGAAGGCCTTATCTGCAGGTAGTAGTTGGGTGTGACGCAAGAGTGAAACAGAAAGCCTGGCAGCCACGGTTTCCTGTGGAGCAGGAAGTCAAAGCATTATTATCATGGTACTATAGTGACTGAGCTGCCAGACCAACCACCCTGTAAGTAAGGCAGCCACACAACTAGAAGACCAGTAATATCAAACTGCTCTGGATCTCAAGCTGTTCTGGGTCTTAGTTTTGTTTCACCTGCACAAGAGTTCAGGGCCTAGATTCTTTCTAAGGTTCTTTCCACTTCTAGAGTTCTGTCATCCAAGTACATGAAAGAAACATACAGTAAACAATCAGAAATAAGCCAAAAGTATGTGTATAAGAGGTGAATAAAGAAACCATGGGATTGGAGTGTTTAAAGATAACGAGGCTGGAGCTGTGGGCACAGAGCCCTAAGATGGAAACACTAACTCAGCGGAGGTTAAAGATTTAGACAGAGGCCGGGCGCGGTGGCTCACGCCTGTAATCCTAGCTCTTGGGAGGCCGAGGCGGGCTGATTGCTCAAGGTCAGGAGTTCAAAACCAGCCTGAGCAAGAGCGAGACCCCGTCTCTACTATAAATAGAAAGAAATTAATTGGCCAACTGATATATATATAAAAAATTAGCCGGGCATGGTGGCACATGCCTGTAGTCCCAGCTACTCGGGAGGCTGAGGCAGAATGATCACTGGAGCCCAGGAGTTTGAGGTTGCTGTGAGCTAGGCTGACGCCACGGCACTCACTCTAGCCTGGACAACAAAGCGAGACTCTGTCTCAAAAAAAAAAAAAAAAAAAGATTTAGACAGAAAAGAAGTGGGGAGATACAAGAGCCCAAGCCTGAGAATCCAGAACTTGAATGCATTCCGCTTCATGCATGTAGATGTGTCCACTGGGTGCTGTGTGCTCCTCCACCCCTCCACATCTCACCAGCTGTTTGATGCTCTGGGCCGCTGAGCGAGTGGCATAGTAATGAGCAATCAGCAACATTGTCTCGAACTCCTCATGGGCTGGAGAGTTTGCCTCACTGGACTTCACCAGATTTTCACACTAGAGGAGAGAGACAGCACAGCCTGGCTTAGGGGTCAGAGGAATGCCACGGTCATAGGATGGTCACTGATGGCTACTTGCACAAAGGAAGGTAAAATACATCTGAAGATAAAGGTTTAGGTATGTGAAAGGAGAGACTAGGACAGAGAGAGGTGGAGTAGCTCCTTCACTCTTTTTTTTTTTTTTTGAGACAGAGTCTCGCTTTGTTGCCCAGGCTAGAATGAGTGCCATGGCATCAGACTAGCTCACAGCAACCTCAAACTCCTGGGCTCAAGCGATCATTCTGCCTCAGCCTCCCAAGTGGCTGGGACTACAGGCATGCGCCACCATGCCCGGCTAATTTTTTCTATATATATTAGTTGGCCAATTAATTTCTTTCTATTTATAGTAGAGACGGGTCTCACTCTTGTTCAGGCTGGTTTCAAACTCCTGAACTCAAACAATCTGCCCACCTCGGACTCCCAGAGAGCTAGGATTACAGGTGTGAGCCACCACACCTGGCCCCTTCACTCTGTTTTGACCCAACTTCCTCACCAGGTTGAAGAGGACATCTCGAAGATCAGCCCAGCTATGATAGGCCTCAGCACTGTTGGTCCCAGGGCAGTTCACCATGTCAGTGAAGATCCTTTTGTAGATATTGAAGTTCTAGGGTAGAGTAGAGAAGGGCATCTTGAGCAACAAGGGCATAACCAGAAGACAAAGTCCTGCAGAAGTGGGGCCAAAGGGAGGAGAAACAGGCTATGAATGGGTATGTGTGAGTAGGAGCTGGGGGACAGTGATGGAGAAAGTGCTGTTTTTAGGGAAGAGAAAGTAGTAAGACAACAACTATTTCTTATTAGCTGATGCTCTGTGAGTGTGGGCAAGCATACAAATGTGAATGCAGAGTCACAATGTTAATGGGCTAATGTTTCCAGAGAGCTGTGATTCTCAGGTAGGGCAGCAGTGTTTATTCTCTGGCAGAAGTCAATAAAGGCCCTATTGGTTATGTGCAGGATTCACTGCTGAAAGATGGGTCCCTGTGTGTTAACTAAAAGGATGGGGGGCTCCTTGGGTGTTTCTTTCAAAGGGTGAATTCTCCAGAGAGGCTATACATTTCTGAAAAGGCTGAATGGGGACTCTGGGCATGATGTTCTCTAAGGATAGAATATTTTGAGAATATAGTTCCTGAGGGGAAGGGTGGTTCTAGAAGAGAAAGAAAATTTCCTTGTGGCAACATTTACCCCAAAGAGAAGACTGATACCTGTGGGTTAGCAGGGGCTCCATGTTGCACATACAGGGCCAGTGCCTGGGCAAAGCCTCCTTCCCGGATAAGGTGAGTTGCATACAAAGCCACGTACTTGTGCAGAATCTTGTAGTTCTGTCCGAGGGTGGGGAAAGCATGGGTAAGGTTGGGATCAGCAAGACCAAGCAGTGAGGGCAAGGTGAGGACTTGAGGCTATGGATTTGTTTAGGAGGCAAAGGGCATATGCAAACCTCTGACCTCAATTTTAGAGTGTACAAGGCTGAGCTCTCTGATGCCCATTAGGGATCTTTGAGGTTTGGGCTTTTGGCTTTGGTGGAGGTAAGACACATGCAGCTCTGAGGCAGGTGGGGGACTCAAGGGAAGATGTAAACAAGAGCTGGGAGTGGAAAGAAGAGCCATACCTGCTTGGTAGCGGTTTCAATGCACTTGTCCCACTGGCCCTGCTCCACATACAGGTCTAAAGCAGCTACCACATCCACACCCACCAGCTGTGGGTCAATGGAAAAGACAGAATTACAAGAGGACAGAGAGATGACATGAAGTAGAGAAGAGGGAGAGAATATCCTGGGCTTCTCCCTGCATTCTGCCCCCTGCTAAGTCACAAGTCTCACCGAGTCCACTTTGCCCTGGTTCTTGAGGAACTCTTTATAATGCTGGTCCACGTAGTCTTCATACCTGTGAGGATGTACAGAGATCTCTACCTTTATGGTCCCAGGATGCCACACCCTCTCCATAAGAACTTTCTCAGTCTTTACAAAAGTAAAATCATTTCCCAGTGAGAGGGGATCATGAGTTTACCGGGGATCTAACTCCTTGGCCACACGCTTGGCCTTGTTCCACTCCTCACCCTCAATGAAAGCATCGATTGCTTCCTTGACAAGGTCCAGGTTCAGATAGAGCTCTGCAGCCTGCAGGATGAGAAATCAGTGGAGACCATCTTTCCCCTCAGCTCCTGGTCTCCCCTCTGTGAGCCCCCATTTCCCTAGAACTGCATGCCATGCCTGCGAGGAACCCCACCTCACACACCTCCTTCCTGGGTGTAGATGTCACCACTGCACCCACCTCTGTGGAATCTATTTCTGTTCAATCCCAGCACTCTACTTACTGCACTGTGCTTTCCAATTCCAACCAGCTGGGGTCCTACGGCCCGAACTACTTCCAAACTGCGCTGGGGAGGCAGAAACTTGATAGAGAGTTCAGCTGCCTGCAGGGTTGAACAGAAGATGGAAATGGGTAGGAGAGACAAACCTGCCAGGGGTTCTCAGCCTGATCCATTTCACGTATTTTCCCCTCCAGACACCAACTTTCTTGTGCTCTCCTTCATGTTCCACCCTCCTGAGCAAAGCTTGGCTCATGGTTCATAATATTTAACTGACTATCAGCAGACCTATCTATTCCTCTGAGCTCATTGTAACTCTTCCACACACCTTCTTTGCTGTCTTAGGTCACTGCATTTGGTCCTGCCACCTTTGACAAACTTGTCTTTCAAGTTCTTTGTCACAAGTA